CTTCATCAGCGACACACACATCGTGATGATGATGACGGTTAGGTGTGAACAAGAAATCTGTCTGGGCCTCAGTCAGGAGGAGATCAAGCCTCTGATGGGAAAATATGTCTAAAATATGAATTTCAGCATCAGGAAACTGCAGGTAACAACTTTTATGAACCAGGTTTGATTCCTTAGACCCGTCTGTTGATCGACTTTCTTCCAGCCAAGCAGTTTCTGCTCCAGTGTCTCTGTAAAAACACGAGGCCCGATGTTCTGGTGAATAATTCATAGAGGGGAGGGGTTGCAGCTCCGTGTGATTTTGCTTGTAATCCAGTTCAAACGCCTCTGTCCCCTGAGATGTCCTGATCAGCCTCACCTCCTGCAGACAAACACACTGCTATCGTCTGAAACACACATCTGCTCAGCACACACACACACACACACACACACACACACACACACACACATCATACAGCAGAAGATTCCTCTGAAGTCTTCCAGGATGCACACCCCCACATCTCCATTCACTGATGCTCTGATGTTACAATGCAGCAAAGGATTCTGGGACGCTCCCTTGCAGTGGGTTGTGTCTGGTGACGGTCTGTGGCTGCTACGGCTCTGCAGACAATTCAAGCCCTTCTTGTTTTGGGTTTTACAAAGAAGAAACTCAGAGGGATCTTTGAGAGGAGCTGATTGTTTCATGCTCCAGAAAATGTTGTTTCATCTTTTTTATGAAATGATTTAAAGTTTTGAATGGAGATTCACCAGAACAGGTTTCCAATCTGATACTCTGGTTTTTGGAGAATCTGTGTGACCTTATGTGTTTCCATGTCGTGAATATAGGGATGGCATCCTGCATGCGTTGGTTGCAACAAGTTCTTATTTAAGCTAGTGTTCCCTTTCTGTCATGTTGAACCAGTTTCCTCCTCTGACATTGACGGGTTATATTTGTCCTCATTCATTGGCTGTTTTTACTTTGCAAACCTGAAGGATGGTTAGATCATTACTTTCTACACCAATAACTACGAGACGATCAAAGTCACTTCCATCTTAGTCCTTTCTGATGCTCAGTTTGAACTTCTGCTGGTTGTCTTTTTTGCTTCTAGATGCCTGGAAGTTTTGAGTTGTTACAACAGGATTTGATGATTCTCTGTTTGCACTAACAGGTGGTGTACCTTTGTATCTGATTTTGTGTCTGCAGCCATTACTTGGACTTTTCTTTGCTGCACAGACTGGCTCACTTTCTTCCTGAAACAACTGTTTTGCTGCTGTCATCTATTGTCTCTACTTTAGATGGGGTACGGCTGTAAATATGGTTGTCATGCTTTGACTGAAAGCAATCAGACACCATTTAAAGACTGGGAAACCTACTGGACCGATGCAAACTGAGGAGGCTCAACAAAAGGCTCACCAAACAGACACACCGACGTGGCAGCAGAACAATAGTGGTGTATCTGTTGGTGTGGCCTCACAGCAGCTGACTCTCACTGATAAAACTCATGAAAACACATCAGATGGAGGCTTTCACTGCGACATGCACACATGGAGCTCACGTCTGCAGAGGCAGCACTGGACAAGCAGCCTGTCGAGAGCTTTTGTTTATTAGTGACACAGAAAAAGATAAGATGGATTTCAAGTGTCCACACAAGCATAACGGCATAATCCTCTGTGTTCTGCAGCCAGACACGACTCCAGATGCTCTTAGAGTACAACAGTGAGGCAGAACAATCATTAAATACTAAAATATATTTATGAAGGCAACTGACCTCTGATATCTATTCACATATATTCAGAATTATAAAGGGAAATTCATCATTCTTGGTACTAAATTGTGGCTGAGTTTTATTTGAAACGAGAGTTTAAAAGGTCAATGTTTAACTCAGAGACATGTGGTGCCTCTTTATCATGGTGGCATTATCTCCTCCAAGAAGCATGAAAACTCAGAGACTTTGAAAAGTTTGGTCCCAAACGTCTTGGATTAGAGCTGATTTCAGACTTTAACAAATCAGTTCCACAGGTTTGTGTTTCAGGTCAGCATTTGAAACATAAAGGCCATCCACGTCCGAGGGACGATGTGTATTTAATTCACTACATTAAAGCAGGCACTGACATTTTCATTAAATTGTTTCACCTGCATACCGGCTTGATTATCACATAAATCTCACCACATCAGCAACAGGCCGACGGACAAGACCTTTTCTTGTGAGAAAAGGTCGCTTCTCTTCAATTAAATGTCAGGAATTGATTCTGCAATGAGATAAAAATGGGGACTGAAACAGAGCCCTGAGGGACCCCTCATAACAAGCACTTTTACAAGTAAAAGAGAAAATACTTTCTCCTTCTGAAGCAAATAACATTTTAATATCCAGTTTTTGAAAATGAGGTTAATCTCTGTTTAATTTCAGGGTTTTTTTTTTTGCAGCGATCCAGTTCATTCATGACTGAATGAGCTTCGTCTGACGAACCAGAACTCACTCAGTTAATTGAAAAACTGCTTATTTCTGTCTGGATCAGCAGACGAGGCTCCATCACCTGATTACAAAGCTCAATAAAAACTAATTTCAGGGAAACCTGCTGGTAGAAAGTCCATAAATCAACAAAACGGTGGCAATCAGACAAAGAAAACACAACACACACACACACACACACACTCGGTTCATCTGATCCGTCTCCTCTGATGTTCCCACGGGAATGTTTGCATCCACTTTCTGTTTTTCTGTGTTGTAATCACTCATTCATCACGTACTGGTCCCACACATACTCTTCCTCTTCTCCCTTTCGGGGATGAAATCAATAAGAAGCTTCAGTTTTGCTGCTGTAAGTGTTGAAGGTTTAAAGTATCCCAACATCTGCAGTGTTTTTGGGATGTGTGGGATTCAGAAAGAGGTTATGCTAACTTTATTCTGTGGCAATAAAAATTGACTGTATACTTTCATAGTGGTTTAACTAATAACTTTGTTTTTTATTGATTATCTTTTGTAGCTGTTTTGATGGAAGAATCCTGAAATGCAGTAAATTAATCTGACTCTTCAAAATGAAAGACAATCTGTAACATTTATTTAAAAATCCCCATGATAAAAAGAAAAAATATTTTATGTTTTTAAAGTTGCTTTGTCTCATTTGTTGCCATTTTTGTGTCTTTTAGTTATATTTTGAGCTATTTCATTGCTGTGTTTCTCATGTTTTATCTCTTTCTAGTTGATTTGATTCTCTTTCTACTTCAAGTTCCCGTTTTGGTTGTTCTTATCTTCTTATAACAACTTTTTATTCAGAGTTTCTGGTTCAACTGTTCTGTCATTTTAACATTTATTCATCAGCTGTTTTTTAGAAATTAATCTGAATCAGTTTATGAAGCTTTTGTGATGTTTTATTGACTTTATTTTGCATTGATTTGCCTTTTCTTCTGCATCTCTTCCTAACAGTTATTGTTGAATTTATGATACGTTATATTTTCCCCTTTATGTTGATGTTTGTGATATTTTCAGCCGTGTTTTTCTATTTGCGCTCATTTTGCATCCATTTCCTCTCACTCAACTGGATTTTGCAGCTTTAAACATCATTTTTTGCAGAATTTGTCGATCGGTTGCATCTGATCACTGATCCATCTGAATCCTGCAGGAGCTGCATGTTCCTATAAACAGAATATGTCGCTGTGATGAGACCTCAGTTTCACTTCAGAGAAGTGACGTACCTTCTGTTTCTGTTAGCAGACAGGATGCTAGCGTGTCAATGCAGGCCTGACAGCACACACACACACACACACTCACACTTATCTATCCACAAATAGCTGATCAGTTTGCGCTGCATTCAGTCGGTCCATCCTCATTTCCTCCATCCCTGCTCCCATCCTGCAGTCATCTTCCCCCTCTCTGAGGCATGCTACAGCTGCTGCTGTCACCCCCAAACATTCCTCCACCCATCGATCACTCATCCATCCATCCACCCCTCCATCCATCCATCCATCCATCCATCCTTCTGTCCTCAGGAAATGCATCCAGCTCTCACCCTGTTTTCCAGGCCATCAGTGGGAGCGTCTGTTTTCCAACCTGAAGCCATCGCGTCATGATACCGTCTTGTTTGCTGCCTCTCCTCTCCTCTCCTCCTGGTCTGTGTGTGTATGTGTGTGTAAGAGGGGGAGGATATCATCGTCACGGCAACACCAGCAGCTTGCAGCAGCAACAGCCACCACCGAGGAGGAGGAGGGATGGAGGCTGCGGGGGTTAAATAATCTGCACTTTGAGCATCCAATCAGGAGCAAGATAGGGAGAAAAGGAGAGAGGGGATTGGTCCATATGTCCACATACTCTCTCTCAATGACACTCTATTCATTTTAGTGTCTCTTGACCTGCAATAGTCACAAGGTTTTTCTTTCTTTTTTTCTTTTTCTTTTTTTGCAGATATAGATGGTATGATATGTATAGCAAGAATATTATATAATATTATATTATAATTAAAAAAAAACAGAAAAAGGTAGTAAAACTAAATGTTTTAAAGTACCAATAATAAAACAAGTTGTAAAATCTAAGAAACCCAAGCAGGAAAGGATAAAAATACAATAATTAATTTCAAGAATGAAAATGTTAAAAGACAACAGATTTTCAGATCGATTAAAAACATAAATACTTTGGTGTACAATAGCTGCTGAAAACATTTTTAGATAATGAAAAAGTATTTCAGTGTCTGAAATGCATTTAACAGAAAAATCAGCTTTTTACCATTATCAGTCCAATTTTAACTCAGACTAACATTCATAAAACATAAGAAAAACTATTAAAGAAACAAAATGTAAAATATATAAAGTATTTTGCTTACAATGTGTGTTCATATAAACATTTGATTTAACCTGAAAACCCTTGGATAAAACTCTGGAACTTTTCAAAATATTTTTGTTCTTTGTTTAAAGAAAGAAAGAAAGAGAAAGAAAGAAAGAAAGAAAGAAAGAAAGAAAGAAAGAAAGAAAGAAAGAAAGAAAGAAAGAAAGAAAGAAAGAAAGAAAGAAAGAACGAATCTAAACAGTATTTTGCAGCAATAGATTTTGTCCCACTCCACCTCCCGTCCGGCAGGCGGCGCCAGTCCGCCATGACGTATTTAAGCAGCGACGGAAGGTTGGTTCGGTCATTTTACCACAGCCGGGCGAGAGGAGCAGGTAAATCTGTCTTTACTGCTGATTTTTTTATCTCATAGATTAAAATGTATAATTTAACATCAGTCTGTTTAAATGTGCTACATTTAATCGTTATCTGATAATGTGAAGACGAGATGACGAGTTTATTTGGTGGATGGAGTTAGATTGTTTCACGCTTATGTCTGTCACGAACTTTCACCTCCAGGTTGTGACGCGTCACATGGTCATTTCATGATCCTTTATGATGAAGTTGCGTTTAACTCTTTGCGTTTAGACTTACAGAAGTTTTCTATAAAATAATTTATTTGTAGCTTTGCCGTGTTTCTGTGGATTCAACCTGTATCATCTATATAAGAGCTGTTGAGCTATGGACCAGACATTTCTAGATTATTGCAATAGTAGGTTAATTTACTGAACATGTGTAGTAGAATGAAGTGTGTTCATTATGAATTCCCTATTTTAGTCAAATAACATAATATTTTGTGGCTAAATTTAATATAATTTTAATAGAACATTGTAGTGAAACCCTATAAAATGTTTCCTTTGAGAAAAACCTCTTTAGGAGCAGGAAACTAAGCCAACCTGTTACTCAGACATTTAGAAAATGTATGAATTAGCTCAAACATCATGTCACCTTTATTTTATTACATTAATTAGGAAAATGCATCTTGATGTGTAGCTCTGAATAATTTGGTTTATTTCTCCTTTTTTCCAGGATTGAAGGCGTTGGACCAGCAGCATCTCAGACCAGGTTAGCCTCCTCCATGTGATCTCGGCTACATTCATTTCCTGCGCTGTGATGACGCTTTTCCTGCCATTCGTAGTTTCCACCAGAGGTCTTAAGGACCAAAGATGGCTTAAATCTTCCTTGGATGTCTGAGCGACTTGCTGTCCTCACCAGACTGTATTATTCTTTCTGGTTCCTTTCTGACAACAACTCTTTCCTCAGGGTTCTGCTGGTTGGGACAGAAAATGGCCCTCACAGCCACCGTAGAGGCTTGGTTGACCGCTACCAAAATGATGACTGATGTATTAAGGAGAAGAAAAGCAAGAATCTCCTCAGGTAGAGTATTGATGATATAAGATGTTCTTTTATGGTTAAATCTGAAAGGTGGGGAGAAATTCTGCCAATAAAAACTAGTACGTTTCAATTTATTTTAAGTATAATCAAATAAAAGTTTAATAAAACCTGAGTTTTCTGTGTTTCCACCTTAACTCAATGAAACTATTTTAAAGTAATTGCTTTAAAAATGTGGTGAAGGATTTCTGCAAAAGCTTTGGAAATGCATTTATTTTAAAGATCGTGTTAAAGGTAAATCACCTGTGAGGTGATTGCTTTATTCATTATAGATATATTTTATGGGTTTTTGTCGGTGCAAATCACTTTTTAGAGCGTCAATTTCCTAAACTTTCTCGTGACCGTTTTTTTTTTTACCTCCAGGGGGCGCCATCGAACTATCAAACTACAGATATAGGAAACCTTAAATCATGGCCTCTGGAAAACCACTGAACATTGAATGCAGTTATAATTGTAACATGGGTGTCAATTGGAACAGCATGTGTTGAAACGGGTCTAAACTTCTGTCAAAGGAAGGTTTTCTGCAACCATGTTAGAAAGCAACAAATCCTGGTGACTTGGTGATTTTAGGGTGATAATCTGAAATATTATCACCCTAAAATCATATAAGCAGAACTGGCATTTAGGGTCCCTGCTTTAAAGTCTTTTTTGTTTTTTTTTTTAATTAGAACCTCAAAAATGAGTTTGCCTAAATTATTATTACCTACTAGAAATTTGAGAATAATTCTAAGAAGTCTTAAAATGAGCGTTTAATGTGGCAGTGCTGCTGGTTCCGAGTGCTGGAACAATATTTTCAGTTGAGAGAAATTCAATCTTCTTTGGTTTACAGAGAACAGATTTGTTGTTTCACCATGAGAGGGAAAACTAATCGTATTCGTCTGTTTACAGGCTGAATCCTTGCTGCCGTTTCTCTTGCCAAACGATGAAGCTGCTGGTCTTTCTCCGCTCATATCTGCTCATCTAACTGGTATGTTTGATTCAGTTCTTATTAAACTGGTTTTGGTCGCTGTGATGACGCTTTTCCTGCCATTCGTAGTTTCCACCAGAGGTCTTAAGGACCAAAGATGGCCAAATCTTCCTTGGATGTCTGAGCGAATTTTAAAACCTTTTAATTGTACAATCATATATTTATACATCATAACTAAATATTTATTCATTTGTCTTTTAGGGAATAATGATGTGGCCTCAAAGCAGCTGCTGCAGTGAAAACCTTCAGGTTAGTATTGTGATAAACAGTATTAGGTGTCTGATTGGTCGCTGTGATGACGCTTTTCCTGCCATTCGTAGTTTCCACCAGAGGTCTTAAGGACCAAAGATGGCCAAATCTTCCTTGGATGTCTGAGCGACTCTAAACTATTATTTGGTGTAATAATCTTCATCCTTTGCTTTAAATCTAATGTCGTTTTGCTTGTTTCAGGTGGAGGAGTTTCTGCATGAAGGCCTTTCAGTATTGGAGGCATACAGGTTGGTATCTGACGACTTTATGATTTTTTTTTTTAACCATCTGACAGGTGTAGTGAAAGACGATGTCTGTTCGCTGTGATGACGTTTATTCCATCCGTTCGCAGTTTCCACCAGAGGTCGAAAGACCAAAGAGGGTTCATTCCTTCCTTGGATGTCTGAGCGAAAAATATTAAAACTGTACTGTGTTTGGGACAAAATGTGTGTAATTGATCCGTTGTGTAGTGAGGTCCAGTCCACCGTCTGGGCTGGTCTCTGATATTCCTGCTCTGGTTAATGAGTGAGAGCTGAGCGGCTCAGTCTAATTTAAACATGTTTTGAGTCGACTCTTAACTCTGTTGTGGAGCGATTACTGAGCCAAATGCAACTCAGGGCGTCTGCATCCCTAGAAAAAAATGTAGGTCATTTAAGGCCTTAAATTGTCATGAATTCATTAAGAAATGTTGGTAATTTTAATCACAGGTGTTTCATTTTATCTATGTAGTTTCTTTCCCTTGTGTGACTTCTCAGGCAAATGTTTAAATAAACATCCTCATGTTCTGAGTGGAGGTGGTTGAGGCTACCGCTAACTACGTACATTTCAGTTTAAGGGAGAGCAGAATAGAAATGATATCCGTTTTCTGATGCGTTGCTAAGAGCAGCAGCATTATGAAGGAGGGCAGATTTCCACTTTTTGTTCAGCCCACAATGAAGGAAAACCACCAACCAGACGTTTCTTTCCTCTTCCAGGTGGTGAAATGTGGTTAATCTGCTGGATCGTCACCGTTGGTTACGAACCTCATGAATCTGATGGTATGTCCAGGTTTATATTTACTCTTATTTTGAGTCGCTGTGATGATTTTCTTCCTTCCATTCGCAGTTTCCTCCAGAGGTCTAAAGACCCAAGATGGTTCATACCTTCCTTGGATGTCTGAGCGACTTTACTTCTGCTTGTAACGGTTTAATCAAATTCAGATTTTCTTACGTTTTCTGCTCTTCTTCCCACAGATGGACTGATTCAGTGACTGCTGCTGTTCTCTGGGATTATTTTATAATTTATTAATAAAGTCTGATGTAAATGAAACTGAGAAGTGTTTCTGTATGAATAATTTTATGTGCTGTCATTCATCTGGATTTAACTTTAACATGGACCAATTAAACAAAGGCCTGGAAAATGTTTTAATTAAAGTGATGTTAGTTTTTATTATTTTATGATGGAACGAATTGAGAATAAATTTTAAAATGTGTCAACTTTTTAGATTTTAACCAACGGGGCTGTTAAGATTTTGGCTGATGGCTTGTACTTTCTAAAGATTTATTTTAGATTTTACTTTTTTCTGGTGAGGAGTGACATTTATAGATCAGTATGTAAAATAAAAGAACTTCTAGACTTTTTCCTTTCATGACTTTGGTATGATGGTAGATTGGGTCAGACTAAGATTTGTTTTACATTCCAAGAATAAAGTAAGCATGAAGTCACACTGGCAGAATGAAGACTACATATTAATAGGCACAAGTCATAAAGTTAGCAGAAGTTGACTTGATAATAGAGAAAAAAGCTGGTGCTTCCATCATTTTATAAAACTTAATCTAACACTGACGCTTTAAATACTTTCAGTTGCCCTAACCTTCCTTATATAAAGACTCGCTATTTAATGACAAAGCTTTACTAGTATAAAATCTATAGTTTAAAAACGATATTCAACGTACTTATTTAGGAATATATACTGCTCAAAAAAATAAAGGGAACATTTCACTTTAATTTTGTGTGTGGCCCCAAATCCAGGCCTCCATTGGTTAATAAATTTGATTTCCATTGATGATTTTTGTGTGATTTTGTTGTCAGCACATTCAACTTTGTACAGAACAAAGTATTCAATGAGAATATTTCATTCATTCAGATCTAGGATGTGTTATTTGAGTGTTCCCTTTAGTTTTTTGAGCAGTGTATATATATTTAAATGTATATACACTTACATTGTATTTACAATGTAAGTGTATATACTTACACTGTATATAAGTACATTGTACGTATGTACATTGCGATGTTGTGCGTATTGTCCCTCATGGCTTTGCGTACACTCGCCTCGTAGCCGCTAACGCCGCCGGCCGGCTTGTCTTCAGCAGGAGGGGACAGGGTGAGGCCATGGCGGCGGTTCAGCCTCAGGTCAGTGGTTTACTGTTAAAATATGAATATTTTATTCTGGTCTGACTGCGAACTGTTTGATGTTGTACGTTAAAAAGCGGAAATGAGCGCGGACAACTCGTTAGCTAACAGGCTAACTAGCTGTTGACTGCTGGTGTTTTGACGTGGCATTACAGCGATGTTATTACACACGTTTCCACCACATTTATATCATCTACCCGCTGCTAAATGGCGTTTAGTTGGGTTGTATCGGCTGTTTACCTGAGCGGCTGAGTCGTGTTGACCTACATTTAAATGTCCAGAGAGAGTTCAAACCTCCCAGCTGCTGCTATTTGTGTCTCATTACAGGACGACCTGCTGAAGATGACCCACCGGGAGAACTGGAGGTGAGTGGTGGCAGCTCCCTTCATCATGCTGAGGGAAAGGCATCACCAGCTGTGACTCCAGCTTCCTCCTCCTCTCTGCAGGGTGCAGCATGAGCGGCTGCACATCAAGCACCGGGGTCATGAGGCCATGCATGCGGAGATGGTGCTGATCCTCATCGCCACGCTGGTGGTGGCCCAGATCGTCCTGGTGCAGTGGAAGCAGAGGCATCACCGCTCCTACAACGTGAGCATGATCTGATCCACTGATCCAGACAAATTCAGCTGCTCTCCATGGAAACACAAACAGAGCTGCTAGTTTGTCTAACAAACTTTTCCACGTTTCCACAAACTTCAGTTTACTTTACTACGGTTTTACATGACAGACCAGCAAGAAGTAGTCAATAAATGTAAGGTGAAAGAAAATTGAAACATGCTTTTTTTGCAACTATAAATCTGAAAAGTGTGACATGCCTGTATATTCATCCCCCTGAGTCAGTACTTACTATATTTATATGCTAAGAGTGGAATTTAGTTTAATATTTACTAAATAGCTCATGTCTGCTTCCACTGCTGAGGAAAAGCTTGCTCACAGCATCATGCTGCCACTACCATGTTTCACCGTGGGCATGGTGCACTCAGGGTGAAGAAACTCCCCTGCTCAGTTTCCTCAGGAAGAAATCTTTACAGTTTTTCACTAAACTGTAAAGTCGACCCAGATGGGGCCCGTGACCTCAGGGGTCTGTTCTTATGTAATCTGTAAACTCCTTTCATTTAAACCAAAGATCAGAAAGGAACAACTAATGACTTAACAAAACTCACTTAAAACATCAAAAGTTTCACTTTAAACATCCTAAAAACCAGATTGATGTAAAAACTGTTGGTGGTTTTTAGCTAAGGTTTTGCCGGAAGTGGGACTTGGAGTGAAGCTGTGATCTGCTCTGTCGTTTCCTCCAGCTGGTGACTCTGGTCCAGATGTGGGTGGTCCCACTTTACTTCACCATCAAGCTGTACTGGTGGAGGTTCCTGTCCATGTGGGGGATGTTCTCCGTCATCACCAGCTACGTCATCTTCAGAGCCACCCGCAAGCCGCTGTCCTGCAGGACCCCCAGGTAGGAGGGCGTCTCAGAGAACTAAAACTACAAATAATAAAACTTTTTTTGCTTGGATGTGTAACCGTGACAACAAAGTGTTATTTATACAGCCAGGAGCAGCTGATTAGCATCTTAAAAGCTCAAATAATACCTGAACTCTGGCCCAAAATCCCAGGGGATTAAAAAGAGACTCCATAGGTGCAGAGAGAGAGCAGGAAGCTCAAACCATGACCAGACAGAGGTTTAAAACACAGCAGCAAAAGCAAAGGAGGTGGATCAGCACAGCTGTTAACAGTTGTGAAACATGAAATTTTTTGTTTTATTTGTGAGACTGAATAAACATGGATCTCTTTGCTGGTGTGTTGAACTGTTTTTATTCACCGTGTCTGTGTTTCCTCTCCAGGATGGTCTACAAGTGGTTCCTGTTGATCTACAAGCTGAGCTACGCTGTGGGCGTCCTGGGCTACCTGGCCATCATGTTCACCATGTTCGGCTTCAACGTCTTCTTCAGGTAACATCTACCAACAACTAAACTGAACCTGTGATCTGAAACTGGGTTTAAAATGTCAAGCAAAGCGCTAACATTACAGTTTTTCTTCAATTCTTTTTAAAGAACATCAGGTTTCCAAGTGCTCATAAACCCCACCTTACAGAATCTGCATTCAGTTTTGTACTTTCTAGACTTTATTTAAAAAGTGCCAGAGTTTCTCACTTTGAATTAGAGCTGATTGAAGGTTTTCACACTCTGAAAACCAGAAGCAAACGTCTCCCTGTTCTCATTACTTTTGGTACATATAGATAAAACATCTTGTAATTTTCTACCAGTATAAAGTTTATGCTTCTTACAGTAATGTGTGCAATGTTCTAAAACTACATAGAAATCTTGAAAATTGAGTGAAATGGAAACAAACCTTTACAAATGAACCTTATTTATTTGTCTGCCTACTTTTTTATTTTAAAATGAAGTGAATTTTTACTTTATTTTCAAACGTTTCCTCCTGCCCCTGTTTGTTTGCCTGTGCAGGATCAAGGCGGAGGACTCCATGGACGTGGGCGTCATCATGCTGTTTTATGGCCTCTACTACGGCGTCATGGGCCGAGACTTTGCAGAAATCTGCTCTGACTACATGGCTTCTACGATCGGGGTAAAGGAAGCCGCTGCTGCCTTCAGCAGAGACCATTTCACTGCAACCCAACATGAAAACCGTCCAGTCTGAGTGAATATTTACTCTAAATGCAAAAAATCCTGCAGAAAATAACAAAAATTACTTCAAGCTTGCAGGATCAACACATTTTATATATTTACAGATAATTAAAGAAAATTGTTTATGACTCCATACAGTTTTCTGGTTATTTTGATGGTCTTATTTGTATAACACTAACAAAACACCCATCTATGTGCCTTCAGTACTACAACAAGGGCGGCATGCCCAGCAGGAGCCTGAGCGGAGACATCTGCGCCGTGTGCGGTCAGAGGATCCTGGTGGAGGTGGAGGAGGAGGGACTTATAGAAGACACCTTCCAGCTGTCCTGCGGTCACATGTATCCTGCTGCTCTCTGAGGCTCGTTTCTCCCAGGCTTTTCTCTTAGCAGGAACCAGGAAACGCTCCTTCTCTCCATGCGGAGCCTGTCAGCCATTCCTGTTGCTTCCTTAACTCACAGACTCTCCGCCAGATTCCATGAGTTTTGCATCCGGGGCTGGTGCATTGTGGGTAAGAAGCAGACGTGTCCTTACTGCAACGAGAAGGTGGACCTGAAGAGGATGATGAACAACCCGTATCCTTGGTTTGTTGCTGATGTTTAATGGCACAAATTGTGCTCATCCGCTCAGTTTGAACTCATTTTCTTTGTGCAGTCTGTACATTTGAATGCATTTTCAAATATCCTAATAGAAATAACTGTCATATTCTCAGAAAAGAAAATTGGGCAATGAAAGTTGTTCTCCACAAGTTTACTTCAGCACCATTTTTGTTTAAATTGCAAAGAATAAAATTATTCTTGTTTCATGTGCGTTAAGAGCTACACAAAAGCTTAAATCACATTGAGTTTAAAAGCCTGAGGATAAAAACTTGTTTAATCTGTTCCTGTTTCATAAAAACTGAGGAATCCTGAAATAATGGATTTTCATATTCTGATGTGAACCAGCAGCTCCTCTGCTGTTCTCCTTAACTCCTGCTTCCAGCTGGGAGAAAACCCACGTTTTGTACGGCCAGTTGCTCGACTGGCTGCGGTATTTAGTTGCCTGGCAACCCATCATCATCGGCATCGTTCATGGAATAAACTTCTCTCTGGGCCTGGAGTAGAGCCCTGAGGAACCCCGCTACAGGATTATCTGCAGTCAGCGCCACAAAGGACTGCTTCAGGCTGCTGTTTTGAACTCTTGCTGAATTTCCTGCAGGATTAATTCTGTCCCATAACTTTAACTTCAGAGGTTGCTGCAAAATCAAGCTGCTGCCAGCACAAAGGAAACTTCAGGCACAGATCCAGTATTTTATGCTGTTTCTTGCAATCGGGTTTTGTTTAAATGAAACATTAATTCATCTTGTATTATCTAATTAGGTTTTATTTGCACACTCTTTGCTGCTGGATTTTTTGACTCCAGTAATGAATTTCTGCTTTATTTATCTAAAGCTCTTTGCACAGTGTTTACATAAGGACTTCTCTGTCCACATGGTTCTGGTTACTCCTAAAAGCTGTTTTTCAGGTCTGGTTGTTTTAAATGTTTCCTTTGGAGCTCACGTTTTATTTAAATATTGTCCATTTAAGTTAATTTCAGAGGTAAATTATTGGTTTGTCCTAAACCATCAACACAGAGAATAAGTGCTTTTCTGAAAAATGCGGGAATTTGATTTTAAAGTGTCAAAAAAGTCCGTTTTGTCAAATGAAATATTTAATTGCCAAAACCTCTGAATCTGACTTTGTATTTAATAAATAATTCAGAAATATTTTCAAAGTGTGATGTGCATGTAGTTAAACCTACAGTTTAGTCCAACAATCTTATGAATCTTATAAAAAAAGCGAAAATACTCGGGTTTTTTGATAGCGAGTATTTTCGTTGTAGATTCCAACGCAATCATTTCCGGTTGAGTTCAAACTAAATCAGAAACAAGAACTTTACAACAATTTGGATTCGCTCTCTAGTTTGACGGCATGTAGAAAATTAACTTTATGAACATAGACGAAACTAAAATAGAAATTTTAAAAAATCGGTAAGCTGATGATGCAAACTTTTGACTTAAAGTGGATGTTTGTTCGTTTCCGTTTTAGAATTCCTAGTTGTAGTTGAATGCACCATATAACACGTAGTAGCCGCTGATTGGCTCTCGACACACACGGCGCCATTTTATAAATCCTCTCAGCGCTAAACACCGAGTCAGTGTCGTAGGAGAGAGAACAGAGATAGGAGCTGCAGCGAGACTGAATATCCACTGGTGGGTCAATGTCCGCCGGTTAACAACCATAAATCCTCTCCTCCACTGTCGGTGTCCTTCCTTCCGGTTGTTTATGGTATTTGTCTCACTTTTCATTGTGCAGCTAAAGCAAACAGTTTCCAAGGACAGAAAAGCAAACAAGTTTCCAAGGATAGAAAAGCTTCGTAAGTAACAGTCGAGTGTTTGGCAACATGGTAAAAAAAGTATTGCTTAATTTAAAACGGGAAAATGATGAATAAAAATGTAAATGCTGGATTTTTTATTTAATTGCTTGTACACCCACTGGTATAACAGAAGGGATAACCAGACAGCATCGATCTGTAGCTTCCTTTGGAGCGACAGTAAAAGGCAGCTCCTCTTTTTTGCAAAACATGAATACATTTTTGGATAGTTGGTTCAAACTCCATGTAAAATGCAACTTTAGATGCATGAAGCATTCACTCTAATAGGGGAAAAAATGAAACTCGCTTTCAGTGTTTTATTTGGCAGTTAGCCTCTATATCAGGGGTGTCGAACTCAATTTCACCGAGGGCCACTAAAGCATATTGGCCCCCCTCAACGGGCCACATTGACGGTACAAATCAAGAGTGCATCCCTGCTAAAACACATCCCAGAAAAAAGGTTGACTTCCCTCATTCAGTTCTGTAGAGCCTTATAATGAGTAAATGATCCAGGTGTGTTAGAGAAGGAACGCATTAAAGTTACAGATGGTAGTTCTGGAAAACTAGACTTGGGCAGCCCTAGTATAAATGTATAAAAA